CCCGCTGGAGCAGCCTCGCCGAGCCCAGGGCGCGAGCGCGAGCGGCGCGGGAAGGCGGGGGAGGCTGGGCGGAGGAGAGGAAGGGAGTGGTTGGAGCCGGCTGCGGCAGCCTCTGCTCGCCACACCGGCGGCACCGGCCCCTCCTCCTGCCTCAGCCGCCTCCCTCCTCTCCAGGGAAAGATGCCCTTAACCCAGGGGTGTGAAGAAGGGGGAGAAGTAGCCGCCCGTGCCGCCGCCGCAGCTGCTGCGGGCCGTGTCCTTTGAATCCAGCAGAGCACCCCCCTCGCCAGCGGGCGCCGGGAGCCTCGGGCGCGGCGGCCGCTGTGCGGAGCAGGACACCAGGCTCTCCGCCCGGCGCGACCCGGCCCGGCCCGGCCCGGCCCGCGAGTGACCACCGCCATGGAGCGCGGTCGGGCGGCCGAGTAGCCGCTGCTCCCGGAGCCCGGGTGCCCAGCCGCCCGCAGCCGCCTTCCCACCGCAGCCGTGCTGCCGGCCAGGCCCCTGGGAGAAGCCGGGAGAAAAATGAAGAGTTTCCATTGGAATCTGTTGGAAATAGGACTCACTGCAAAGCCTTAAAAAGAAAGACCTCGGGAACAGAAGGAAGAGCCTCCTCCGGGCGAGACTCGGCGTGCTCTGAGCCAAGGAGAAGCCGCTCCGGGGACCTCGCCCCCTCCCTTGGCCGCTGGAGAAATTGCCGTGGATGCGTTATCCAAGTGGTGGTTGGGAAGATTTGCAGCAGAATTTTTGGTTTTCCCTCCCCCTCCTATTCATGCTGTTTTTTTTTTTTTTTTTCCTCCCTTTTCTATTTTCCTTCTTCCCGGGAAGTGAATTGCGGATGCAGGGGGACTTTACTCATTAATGATGCAACCGGATTCGTTTCAGGATTCTGTTGCACGAGTTGAATTTTGAATGAAGGAGAAGAGTTTTTTTTTTTTGTTGTTGTTTTTTTTGAAAAGAAGTGTTGAGTTCGTTGTACTTTTAATTTTTTATTTAAATATACAATTGTATTATTTTAAGATGCATTAAATATATATATATATGTTTTATGGTAACTTGCCGTCAAGATAAGTGTCTACGGGTGAAATTGAAGACGCTTCATTTAAGTAAAGTTACTGGTGTATTGGATGTTTAATTCAGCACCGGCATTACATGACAGTTGTTAGAATAACAAGTGGTTTATTTTAAAAACCACACCTTAACAAATTTAGGTTCAAATAGTTACAATAAAAAGTGTAATAACAATTTAAAAGAAAGCCAGCCGAAATCGAAGCAAACATGTCCGGAGAAGTGCGTTTGAGGCAGTTGGAGCAGTTTATTTTGGATGGGCCAGCTCAGACCAATGGGCAGTGCTTCAGTGTGGAGACCTTACTGGATATACTCATCTGCCTTTATGATGAATGCAATAATTCTCCATTAAGAAGAGAGAAGAACATTCTTGAATACTTAGAATGGGGTAAGTTTGTATTTTGTCTGACTCAATCTTTAACTGGGCGCTATATTTACTAGAGTTATGAGCAGACTCTAATGAAAAATTTTAAAATAAAAGGACACCAATTCCTGAAGATCTTTTCCCCCTAGTTTTTGTTACATGTTTTCCCAGGAGTAAAACCACACTTCTCAGTTGTTGCCGTGATGTAAGGCCTAGCTGTTGTGGAATTTATGATAAAGAACTTACGTTTGTAGGTCAGCAGTAGGAGATTTAAAGTGAATTGTGGGCTAGGCAAAATGGATTATTGCTCATAGTTGCCTAATCCATGGCAGAATCGCAGCCATTCAATGAAGGGTGTTCGATGTTGGAAAGAAACATTCTGTCCCAGAATTGGGAAATCACTCTTGAAAGGAGGAGATACTGAAATACCTGTATTTATTTTAGGGCAGCAGGATCATGAATGTAGTGATCAGCGGGTTTTATTTTATCTCTATATTGGACAAAGGAAATTACTACACCAAAAAAAAAGGACCTTCCAGAAATGGTTACATTTCTAAAATGAAATGACATAAGTACTTTGAAAATGTGACAGTAGTTGTTTGGGAATGCTTAGGTGCAGTAGATGTTTAGATTTTATTTTAAAACGTTAGATTTTATTCTAAATCGAATTTTAATCTAAATTGGGTAGATTTTTGGTTTAGTGTACTAAATGTAGATGTGATGAAGACCTGTTGTAATAGAAAAGATCAGTGACAGGAACAATAGCTCATCACGACCTTCAAGCTTGAAGGCTTGGTTGAAGTTCTTTAGCCTCTGATGTTATACACAGTGTAAGGTCCAGCAGCTCACGTGCTACCTCAGACCTATGGTGAACTTTGGCTTTGGAAAGATTTTGGCCAACTACATGTATGTTGTACCTTTGGAATGCTGATATTAATTTGTGAAGTTTTTATTCTGAAGTATCTTTGTTCCTAGGTAAAGCTTTCTTGAAGTAAAAAATCAAGTGCTATTTTTTTTTTAATAATTTGAAGTTTATTTTAAATTAGTTTCTCAGGTAATCACTGATGTAAAGATACACATACTAATTTTACTTGGCCAATTGGCCAGTAGTAGATTTCTAGCAACAGTGATGTCATGATGTTTTAAGATATATGTAAATGTGAGTGGAATGAATTTTAAAAACAGACTACTAGTGTTGTACTGGGATTGTAGGAAATCTAAACCATTTTTCAAGCAATTTCTCTCCTAAGACAGCTTTGACTTTGGTATTGGTTTAATGTCTTTTTAATATGTGAGATATTTTATAAAGCAAAATATTTTGTAAAGCTCTTGTAGTTTTATTTCATGTTTCATAAATTTAGAAGTTCTGTAGTGTTTTCTTTGAAGATTAAAAATTGAAGTTTGAGTTTTTCAAGTATGGTTTCATAGTGGCACTCTAGTCTGTGATTGTGATTATCTTTTTTTTTTTTTTTTT